CCCCCGCTCCCTCCCATCACAGATCCTCCTGCATACAAGCCGAGGGAGGAGGAGGGCGCAGGGGGGGGGAGAAGCAGGCCCGCGAACAGGAAAGCAGTGGATACAGATAAGAGATGGCTCCCTGAAAGAAAGAAAGAAGAAGCGGACAAAGTGGGACACAAGTGAAGAATCCAGCAACCCTGAGGAAAAGGACAGTGATGACGAAACAGGGCTAAGGAGAAATCAGACACTGGCAAGAAAAGACAAAGCGGACAAGAAAGGTCAATACCCTCTCATCCAGATGCTGAAGCCGAGGACTGGAGGGATGGTGCTAGTCCAATGGAACCGGGACTTAGCTCGTCCATTACATCTGCTAAAAAAGGCACGCAGACAAATTAATATTTGTGATGCTATCAAGGAAGCTCTTGTGGCTTTGGGCACTGAACATTCCATTTTGAAGGGACAGGGTTATACAGCACCTGATGGATTGTGGAGGAAAATTGTGACTGAGTGTGGTGAGGTCAACAGGCAGACATTATTATGACTACTGGAGAAGAAGACCCACTGAAACAGAAGATCCAGATGATGATCTAGATTTATTTCCAAGCTGGTCTCCGCTGTCTCCATCTTCCAATTCCAAAGAAGCCCATCCTGCTGAAGCCTGCTGTCTGCCTGACACTAAATCTGACAGTGAAGAAACATTATCAGTAACCTGAGGTGCCCCTTCAAGTGTACTGCATAAAACACAACCCAATATCTGTTGACACAGCAGTAGAACTGCTTCGTCATGTCAATAAGCAGAAAGTGAGCACACTCCCACCCACAAATCCCAAGTCAGGAGAAGTGCATATGTACATGTATCAAGGTGAGTGTGAGAAGCAAGATTGGAGAGCAGATCATATCAGGTGGAACAATAGGGGAACAAAGACCCTCTCTCACCCACTGGGCCAAGTGAAAATTCGCTATTTCTTGGTAAAGAGTGAAGGGAAAGTCTTCAGGAAAAGGTCATACGAGCTGGTGAACAAGCCATACTTCTTGATTCAGTATACAGGAGATGTGGAGGCATACATACCTAAACCACATGGAAATTCAGAAGAGTCTCAGCAACCTTTTGTGCGAACTGCCCCTAGTATCATGAAAATGATCAAAGATGAGAAGAATCTGCCTCCATCGCAGGTATACCATGAATTGATCAATAGACCATTACAAAGCAAGCCCCATCTAGACACTCACTTTCCCAGGGACATGAGTCAGGTACAAAACACTGTCAAACGTGCTCGACTGGATAGCATGCTCAACCCCCATGACGTAAGTGCTACATACATATTATGTGAGTACCTGAAAGATTTTGTACAGGACATGCGTGTCTATCCACATATCCACATAATCCACCAGTTGTTCCTGGAATGATTGCTGAATTCAGGCACATGATGGCCAACACTGAGCACCCACATGTCCCGCATGTAATTCACTATGACACCACTTTAACTTGGGGAACTTTTATGTTTCACCATTGCTGTACCACCACGCCAGTTTTACCGAGTGTCCTGTAATTCCACTGGCATTTCTGCTACATCAAAACAGGACAGAGAAAACACACTCAGCATTTTTCTCTGATTTGGCCACCATTCTACCAGAACTGAATTCTCACAAGTTTGTCATATGCACTGACCATGAGACTGCCATTGATAATGCCATCACTCAAACTCTTCCTAAGCTTTCCAGGGTAAACTGCTGGAATCACCTCCTCCGGAATGTCAGGTACCAGATACAGAAGCTGAGAGGGCAAAAAGATGACGAAGAAGTGTATGTTGAAAATATCAGACACATTCTTCAGTCCCAGACTGAAAAGGAATGGAATTATAACCTAAAATGGTATTCCATGACCTGGAGTTTGGCGTTTAAGGAATACTTCAGAGTCAACCTTGAAGCGCATGTAAAAAGGAGTGCAACATTTGCCCTCAGAAATCTAGGACTTATGCTCTCTGAAATAACAAACAATGCCTCAGAGAGCTTCAACAACACTCTAAAAGGAATGGTTGAATGGAAGGAGGTTCGACTAGAAAAAATGGTTTGGTCTTCATT